AATACTAACTAAGCACAGAATAACATAAGTAAACCTAAAACATCCCTGTTTCTGTTAAGAACATTGTTGGTCCTGCTGAGCAGGCATTTTGTTTTCCTCAGCCACGCCTTTTGCCCAGACAGGAAATAGCTACTGCCCCACACCAGGTAACTCAAAGAAAGAAAAACAACAGAAAACATTTTTAGGAAAACCACACAATGCTATTATGTGCATGCTTTGTAATATCAGTGTTATGTTTAGGTAAAATGATTAAGGAATTATATTAGTGAAGTAGCTGCAAACCAAATAAATAAAGTGAACGAATGGAATTGTTTTACCCATATGTGGCTGATGCCATCACAGTGTAGGAGCAGAAGATCAGTTCTCAGATTTAGATGGAGAAGAAGACCAGTGTAGAGGCAGGCCTACAAACCAAAGCTGACGGGAAATGATGTAGATCAGCACAGTGACTCGTCTTTATGAGGTCAAACATTGGGTTGAAACGTGAATAAAGTTTAAATTTGAATATGAGCAGTAAAAGTTTCCCGCTCTGACCTTCAGATGAACCATAATTAAGATTTTCTTTTAGTTTAATTAGACTTCACGTCATCCTCCAGAATAATTACTGCTTAGACTTCTTAATTAACAGGTCCGTGGTTTTCACTCCTGATTTATTCGACTTCCTGTTCTTGGCTCAGACATCCGTCTGCTCACTCCACACAAACAGACATGAACAATGCCTGATGTTGCTGTTTGTATCGTTCACCTTTCTGATGTTTTTTCTTCCTCTCACAACCTCTGAGGTTCAGCTTTCTGTAATATGAGCCTGATCGCCTATTATTGATTGTTGTTGACAGTTTCTTTGTTTGTTGTTTGTGTGTCGTGTTTTTGTTTTGTTTTTTCTTTTATGCTCAATACCATCTGTCTGCTCAAATGTCTGATTTCTCTCTGCAGTTCCTGGACAGATAGAGAAACAAATTATGTACTGCCGTTTGTTGTTTTTATTGTTTACTGTTTATTTGTTTCCAGGTTACGGTATCGGCCTCCCTCAGAATTCTCCTCTGACATCCAATGTCTCCGAGTTCATCAGCAGGTACAAATCCGATGGTTACATGGACCTGCTGCACGACAAGTGGTACAAAGTGGTTCCGTGTGGGAACCGTGTGTTCGCCGTTACTGAGGTCAGTGTGACAGCAGCACACCTGTGTGGCCGCGGCCACCTGTTCCTTCCTGTTGCTGGTGTAGAGCTGCTCAGAGATCAAACCTGAGATGCTTTCATGAAATGTATTTTATTTCAACCTTCTCAAAGCCAACAGAACAACATGAGGAGGCGTCTGGACACTTCAGATCTGGACTGGATATAGTTTCTGACTGTGCTCAGGTGGGCAGATGCTGTCCCCTGCTGGTCACTCTGAGACACAGCTATCAAACCTCATAAAGGCAGATTAAAAAACATAACACAAACTGCAGTCGGCAACAGGAAACCAGTTAGCAACACAGCAAGAAACCAGCTGCTGACACACTGCAGGCACAGAGGACAGGGCAAATACATCTTCCTGCTCTTTTAAAACAAGCTGCCCGCTGACCTTAGATCAGTTACATCTGTGCGTCCATTTAAAAACAGACTCAA